TTTTGCTAATGTGGTCCTACTTTCTCTGTTGCGAATTTAGGGAGTGTTGCTTTACTATGATTAGGAGGGGTGTTCGTACACGTGGTCAAACTCATCGAGGTAGGCCATCGACAAATGTGTCTCCCATTCGGAACATAGCTGTGGATGCAAGACCACCAAGGAGTCCCCCGGTTCAGGGAGTCAATCCTGGAGCTGCTGCGGCCCCTCCTGGTGCAACACCTACAGCTCCCCCAACTACCTTGCCAAATACACCACCATTAGCTACTCAAGCAGATATCATTGGAATCAGTACTGTTGTAGCTAATCTAATTCGACAACAGCAAGGACAACAAGATGTCACTACCCAGTCTTCATATTTCGAAAGGTTTAGGCGAGTGAACCCCCCTACCTTTAATGGTGGCCCAGATCCTACAGCGGCAGAGAGATGGATTAAGGAATTGGAAAAATTATTTGATGCAATGCAATACCCTAACGACGTCAAGGTAGCAGTAGCCGTTCCTTTATTGCAAGGGAATGCTGAGCATTGGTGGGAGGTAGAAAGGGCTGCCCACCCTGATGGTGTTAATTGGCAAGATTTCAAAAGAATTTTCTTTGACAATTTCTTCCCTGACAGTTTGAAGACAATCAAAGAAAATGAGTTTCTGGACTTAAAGCAAGGAAGTATGACTGTGTTGGAGTATGCGCACAAGTTTCATGAGTTGGGCCAATTCTGCTTGAGATATATGATTGACGAGAGAGACAAAGCTAGAAAGTTTGAGCGGAGACTAAGACCTGATATTCGAGATAAGTTATGTGGGACCATCTTCACCACCTACTTGGCTGTGTATATGAGCGCTCTTAAAGCTGAAGCCGAAGTGAATAAGCAAGCTGAATACTGGGCACGGAAGAAAAGAGCAGGGCCCAAGATATCTAAAGAAGCTAGTGGTTCTAACAATAAGAAAAGAGATGTTGGATTTCAGAAAAAGGAAAATACATGTGGATATTGTCATCGATCTCATACCGGTCCATGCCACCGTAAGACTGGAGCTTGCTTTGGATGTGGACAACAAGGCCATTTGATCAAGAATTGTCCCTCCATGAAGAAGAACGAAGCACAGTCGACTCATCCCAAAAGGGCTAATGCTCGGGTTTTTGCCATGACACAGGAAGATGCAGATAAGGTGGACAATGTAGTTGCAGGTATTATTCCCCTAAACACTGTGGATGCTTATGTGTTGTGTGATTCAGGTTCTTCGCATTGTTTTATTTCTGAGAGGTTTGCAAAGAGCTTAAATTTGCAAGCTAAGAAGTTGAGTGAACCTTTATATGTTAGTACCCCGATGGGGAAAATTGTGGTGACAGACACTTGGTTTCAAGATTGTCACCTACAACTTAATGGGAGTAATGTGTCAATTGACTTAGTTCAACTAGATATGCGGGATTTTGATGTGATATTAGGAATGGATTGGCTATCCAAAAACTATGCCTTCATTGATTGTGCTCGTAGGAAGGTGGTATTTCAAATTCCTGGGCAACCTATTTTTACTTTGGAACACTTTCCTAGGAGTGGGGTGTTGGTTTCGAGGGTGCCATTAAAAGTAATTTCAGCATTGAAGGCTAAGAAGGAATTGAGAAAAGGGTATAGAGGTTTCTTGGCTTATGTAATGGATACCCACCGTAAAGAAGTTAAGTTAGATGATATCCCCGTTGTTAAAGAATTTTCGGATGTGTTCCCAGAGCAATTACCTGGATTACCTCCAGATAGAGAAATTGAGTTTGAAATAGAGGTTGTTCCCGGAACCACTCCAATCTCAAAGGCCCCTTACCGCATGGCACCATCTGAGCTACGTGAGTTAAAGGTGCAATTACAAGAGTTGCTTGATATGGGATTTATTAAACCTAGTGTATCTCCTTGGGGTGCACCAGTGTTATTTGTGAAGAAAAAAGATGGTAGCTTGCGATTGTGTATTGACTATCGGGAATTAAATAAAGTTACTGTGAAGAACAAGTATCCTCTACCTCGCATAGATGATTTATTTGATCAGTTGCAAGGTGCTAAATACTTCTCAAAAATTGATTTGAGATCAGGGTACCATCAATTGAAGGTTAAAGCTAGCGATATACCCAAGACTGCTTTTAGGACCCGGTATGGCCATTATGAATTTTTGGTGATGCCGTTCGGGTTAACTAATGCTCCTGCCTTCTTTATGGATTTGATGAATAGGGTCCTCAAGCCATTTCTGGACAAATTTGTTGTGGTATTTATTGATGACATTTTGATATATTCAAAGAGTGAGGAAGAGCATGCTCAACATCTGAGGATCATCTTGCATACCTTGAAGGAAAATGAATTGTATGCCAAGCTAAGTAAATGTGAATTTTGGCTTAAGGAGGTATCTTTTCTTGGTCATGTGATTTCTGGAGATGGGATTTCTGTGGACTCGGGTAAAGTTGAAGCGATAACGCAATGGCCGAGACCCACTAATGTCACAGAAATAAGGAGTTTTCTGGGTTTAGCAGGTTATTACAGGAGATTTGTGAAAGACTTCTCATTAATAGCTATGCCATTGACTCGGTTAACTCGGAAGGGTATAAAGTTTGATTGGGATGAGGAGTGTGAGAAGAGCTTTCAGGAATTAAAGGAAAGATTGGTTAATGCACCTATCTTAACCCTACCATCCGGGGAAGGAGGATTTGTTATTTATAGTGATGCATCAAGAAGAGGATTAGGATGTGTGTTGATGCAAAATGATAGGGTGGTAGCCTATGCGTCTCGAAAATTGAAGCCCCATGAAGTTAATTACCCCACTCATGACTTAGAACTAGCAGCTGTGGTATTTGCTTTAAAAATTTGGAGGCACTACCTATATGGAGAATCTTGTCAAATATTTACGGATCACAAGAGTTTGAAGTACCTCTTTACCCAAAAGGAATTAAATATGAGACAACGACGATGGTTGGAGCTAATCAAAGATTACGACCTCTCTATTAATTATCATCCGGGTAAGGCTAACGTGGTAGCCGATGCTTTAAGTCGTAAGTCCTCCACGGTTAATGTGACAATGGTAACCACTCAAACCCAATTGTTGAAAGACTTGCAAGATTTGGAAGTTGAGGTTATTTCGCAAGATAAGCAAGGAGGAATTTTGGCAACTATGACTGCAAAACCAGTATTATTAGATCGCATCAAAGCGGCCCAAGTTCTAGATCCCGAGCTGATTAAGATTCGGGAAAAAGTTCAAACGGGTAACCCAAGAGAGTTCGGTATTCATGATGATGGATCCCTATATCTCAAGTCCCGACTATGCATTCCAAATGATGTTGAGATAAGGAAGGATATTTTAAAGGAAGCCCATCAGTCTCACTTCTCAGTACATCCAGGTGCTACCAAAATGTATAGAGATATGAGAAATAATTTTTGGTGGAGTGGTATGAAGCGGGATATTGCTGCCTTTGTGGCTAGATGCATGGTATGTCAACAAGTCAAAGCTGAACACCAAAGACCTGCAGGATTACTGAAACCCCTAGAGATACCTCAGTGGAAGTGGGAACATATATCTATGGATTTTGTGAGTGGATTACCGAACAGTCAGCATGGGAAAAATACCATTTGGGTTATTGTGGATCGACTTACTAAGGTTGCACATTTTCTACCCATTAAAAAGACAACTCCATTGAATGACCTAGCTGAGTTGTATGTGAATGAAATCGTAAGGTTACATGGCGTACCTGTTAGTATAGTATCTGACCGGGACTCTAGATTTGTGTCAAAGTTTTGGAGAAGCTTACAACGAGCCATGGGGACTGAATTAAGATTAAGCACTGCATTTCATCCACAAACAGATGGGCAAACCGAGAGGACAATTCAGACTTTGGAGGATATGCTTCGAGCTTGTGTTTTGGATTTCAAGGGTAGTTGGAGTAAATACTTAACTTTGATTGAGTTTGCATATAACAATAGCTACCAATCAAGTATAGGGATGGCACCTTTTGAAGCTTTATATGGAAGGAAGTGTAGATCTCCTTTATATTGGGATGAAGTTGGAGAAAGAAAGATCTTAGGACCAGAACTTGTACAACTCACAGTTGAGAAGATTAAATTAATTAAGAAAAGAATTAAAGCCTCTCAAGACAGGCAAAAGAGCTGGGCTGACTTGAAAAGAAGAGAATTGGAATTCAAAGTTGGGGATTTGGTGTATTTAAAGGTTTCACCAACTCGAGGAGTAATGAGGTTTGGAGAGAAAGCGAAATTAAGTCCACGTTACATTGGACCGTTTGAGATTCTGAGTAGAGTGGGTAGTTTGGCTTATGAGCTAGCACTACCACCACAATTAGTTGGAGTTCACAATGTATTCCATGTATCAATGTTACGAAGGTACATTGCAGATCCGAGTCATGTGGTGGAGTATCAACCACTACAAGTTAGGGATGACTTAACATATGAAGAAGTACCTCTTCGTATCATTGATCGGAAGGAACAAGTGTTGAGGTCCCGAGTAATCCCTTTTGTTAAAGTGCAATGGTCACATCATACCCCAACAGAAGCAACATGGGAAAAGGAAGATGATATGAAGGATAGATATCCTGAACTCTTCAAGTTTGAAGGTAAGTAAGTTTCGAGGACGAAACTCATTTTAAGGTGAGGAGATTGTAATACCCAATTTCTTATAAATGCAATTATGCTTAAGTTTTATTAAGTGAAGTCAACAAGTCAAAGCTTCTTATTTTGATATTGGATAAAATTACCAAATTATCCTTCTTTACCCTTAAAGGTTAAGGAACCACATGAGTCTTGGATAAGCATCATATTTGAAAGAAGACAAGGAGAGCTAATTAGAGAGAGTTAGGGGAAGGGAAAACCTTGAAGCTTGGATCTCCATTTTCTTCAAGCTTAGATCTCTAAGATATTGGGTATTCTAGGTGAGTTTAACCTCTATCTTTTACTCTTTATGAGTGGATTTATCTTTGGAGCCCTAAGATTGATATTTGAAAATATTAGGGATTTTGACAAGGAGTATTTGGGCAAGCTAAATAGCTAAGATTTGGATGTTTTAGGTAAGTGTTTATTCCTCTCAAAACTATTTTTACCCTATACTATAAATTAAGCTTGTGTTCCGAATTGTTATAATGAAGCTTGAACTGCGTATTTTTGGACTAGAAATGTTGCTATGTAATCTGGACTGGAATTGTTGTAAACTGTGTTTCTGGACAGAAAGTATGGTCTTATTTAATCTGAACTGGAATTAACACCATGTGTAGTGATGGTTGAATGGTTTATGGTTGCTGTGCTAGTAGTAGTTGGTCTAGAGTTTGAATTTGCTTTGCTAATAAGGCCTTATGTTTGTTTTATATACGTAATATATGACTTATGTTTGTTTTATATATGTAATATATGCTTATAAAATGAATTATTTGTTTAAAGTGAGACTTGAACTCTTAACCTCTTGCTTATTAATTTAAGTTTTTTTCCAACTAAGCCATTTCAATCCCTTTGAAATTACTTTGGTTTAATAAATCATTCTATGATTTTTAAAGAGTTATGTACTAAGAAAATTATTATTTTGAGAATGGTTTATACCTTGCATATTTCTTAGTTTGATAAACTTATTATCTATTTTGGAAATAGGTACTTTGTTATGTGATTTTAAAGAAATGATTTTTGCTACATCGGGCTATTTGATTATAAGAACTATTTGGATCATTTGATAAAACTCATGAGGCAACCTACATTTTGTTGTTTGTTTTGTTTGGCTTGGAACGTTCCTAATTGCTCATTCTGAATTGTCGAGCTTGACTCATTCCGAATCGTCGAGTCTTTTGAATTATTTGTTGGAACGTTCCATCCGGCTCATTCCGAATCGTCGAGCCTGACTCATTCCGAATCGTCGAGTCTTTTTGGACCATTATACCAATAATGGCATGTGCCACAAAATATAATGGTGGTTGTAGGTTGCCAATGGGTCATATGTTAAGGAATGATTTGTGCTTTTGAAAGTCTTTTGTTATGAAATATTGTTGATGCCCATGTAGCTAAAGTTTCTTGTTTTGTGAGCTTATGTATTGTATGATGGAGTATATTATGACTTCGATATGGTTTAAAGATCAAGTTTTGCCTCTAGTTATTACTCTAAAGCTTTTTGTATTATATTGGGGTTACTTGATCCGGGGTTGAGAGGAGTACCACTTACTGGGCATTAGCTCATTATTTGTATTTGTTTTTCCTCATGTTTCAGAGTAGTTAAGGACATGTGAATAGCACGAGCACAAGTGGTGGGGTCTCGAATGTGACTTTTGGAAACTAGGAGACTTAGTCCTACTATTGGAGCTTATCACAGATTTTTGTTTCTTTTGGATATTCCCGTTGACCCTTTGTATTTTGGTAAACCATTGTGCTTGGTTTTGGTGCTTGTAATGCATTTTGTCATGCTAGTCTTGATTGTAAATATTTAATAGTGGTGATTTGGTGAGTTTTTGGGAAGAACTAGTTGTTTATATTGGCCATAAAAGTGAGGAATTGTTATGTATTAAAGTGTTGTTATGAAGGTTCCGAGAGGTATATATGACTAGGCTTCGTATTGTTACAGGCTTTCGTGTAGCGATACGGCCGGGTCATGTCCTAGAAGCGGGGCGTGACAACTTTGAACCGCGATGGACCTTTCAACTCTTCCCTCCCAAACTGCATGACTCCTATTTCCATCTCATCATTCCCAGTGAGGTTTGGAGGTAAAGTTATTGTGTTACCTTGAGACAAAAGACAAATGCCAATAAAACAAAACATGACTAGTAGTTTCCACCTGATCATAGCATACAGGACAACTCAGCTCTGCATCAACCCTCTTCTGCCCAAGAGAATATTGTACTGGTAATATACTTTTCGCGAATATAATTTTCAAATAAAATTCTTTAAATTTGTCAAAAATTCCCCCTCAGCAACATATACACATTGTTGACTGACTGAGTAGTGTCGCCTTATATCTCACTTCCAATACCAACCATCTTCAAAATATGGGGTGATAGGGGTCTTTGAGATCAAATCAAGCATCTCTGAGTGAGAACAAATCTTTTATTAAGTCAGTATCCTACGCGTGAGTATTCAGAATCTGCAGTACAGTGAGAAAACGGTAATATTTTCGAGTTGGGGATAATGCAATGTCTTAATCTTTGCAATTGTGATATATTGCTTCAACCATTGTGACAATAAATTTGTAGCTAAAACCTTTTATTCATTGAAGTCTTCTAAAATATAATAAGTTCAGAGAAAAGAAAGGAATTTTTAAAGTGTAGAAAATGGAATAGTCACTACTTCTTGTCTTTAATATAATAATGATCAAGATAAATATATAGCCTTATTCCCCAAGCTAATCTTTCTCAAAAAGGTGTCCAAATTCATGCAATAAAAAAGGAGACTTTTTACATTTGAAGCAGATGTAACCGAAATTTGAGAATTAAATTGAACAAATATGATATCTGGAGTGATCACGCGGTACAAGATGAGGCATGTTTTCTTCCTTTGCTTTTATCAGCTTCTCTCATATGCCCTCGCAGTACAACATGTCCAATTATGTCCTTTCAAAGCAACTTTAAGGTGTGTTTGGTTCGTACATGAAAATCGGTATGAGAATGAGAATGAGAATCAAATACTTGATAATGTTAATGAGTTTTGGTGAAAGTATTTTGCATGTTTGGTAGTAGGGTGGAATTGGAATGATTACGAATATTGATATTTGGTTGTGTATGACCCGAGAAAATTTCAGTTTTGGTCATATGATTATAGGGGCTTTATTAATTTCAGCACTTGACTTTCAAAAGTGTTAATTTAGTACCTTGACTATGCAATTTTTATCAATTTTGGTCACTCCGGTTAAATTGCCGACCAAATTTCGCCAGAAAAATTTAATCCTTCATTTAGTCTACAATATCAAGGGCAAAATCGTCTTTTGAAATCTGGTAAAATCGTCTTTTTTCCGGCGAAATTTGATCGGAGTGATCAAAATTGACAAAAATTACATACTCAAGGTATTAAATTGACACTTTTGAAAAGTCAGGTGCTAAAATTAAGAAAGCCCCTTTAGTCATATGACCAAAATTGAAATTTTCTCTGTATGACCCTATAATGTGAACAAATGTTTCAAAAATACGAAAACAAAAAAATCAAGACAATTGATTCTAATATAATGACATCAAAAGCATCAATCTAACTCTATAATAAAGCAAGAAGTTTTGCCAATCATTGTTTCCTGCCCAATGAAAACGACGCAGTTTTGGTTTATTGATATTTATCCATCTAAGAGGTTATTTGTTCTGCGCGTGTTATGTGATTATGCATTGGTAGTATGCACAGCCGTTTTCAAAAGGCAACTATTCGTATTAACTTAGCATACACTCCTTGGTTCCCAAGGAGTTCAATTAATGTAGAACTCTTGGAAGTTTAAACAAAATAAATATTATAAACGCATCAGGCCTACAATTTCGAAGATACATGCAAGTAAATAACAAGAGAATATTATATATATTACACGGAATATGCAGAGTTGCAATCTGCAAATACACATTCAATGAGATGTGTGAATTCCAAAACATTGGCTGCTGCTCAAAATCAATGGTAAATTTGAATTATGAACCTGTATAAATACCCCGGTTCTTCATGGCAAAAATCCTTCACACATTAAGTTCAGTTTACTTCCTTTTCGAAATAGTATTGGTCTGTCAAGATGCCAAGCATGTTCATTGCTGTCAAGAATATCAAGCCGGAACACCAGCTCAGGGCAATCCGGGTGAGAGCAGTAAGGATCTATGTGTTAGAATACACACACAATTTGAACACATGTGATGACCTAACCTCATAGCGGAAGCATAATGATCAAGCAAAACTCCAGCCATAGTTGATACTTTGTTGCATTGTATTGTTGCTTCAAGAACTCCAATGATCATAGTTTTGTTGTCTACCATTAATCTCCTGTATGAACTAGATGGTGTAGTTGTAAAGCTGCAACAGGAGCAATGGGAGGACCATGCTTAACTAGCCTACATGCCATCATTATAGGCTAAGTAACGGAAACCGTTACTTCCGTTTCAAACCACAACATAATGGCCATAATTGGCCTATTAAACTTGCACCACTTAATAGTGTAATTATAATGAAAATGTTACATTCTCCCACTTGGTGCAAGTATTAACTCAAAGAAACAAAAAACATGAACCATAGAGATGGTTCCTCTTAATCAGAGTAGTATCTACTTATGATTACAATGTAATTTATTCTCTAAGTACCTTATGTGGTATAAAACTTAATGAATAAACCTTATGTTCATTCTTGATTATAATTAGTTATCAAAACTAATTATTGCCGCAATGGCTAAATTTGGCCTAATAAACTTACACCACTTGATTTGTACAACATTAATGGAAAATGTTACAATTTTCCATTTGGTGCAAGTATTGGCACAACCTTCATTGAAGATCAAAAGCATGAATCATAGTGGTATGTCCTCTAAATTAAAAAGGTGAGTAATACTATCTATGCATCACATGCATTTTGATTCCCAACTCAGGTCCTTTATGAATAAACCCTACGTTTATTCTTGGTCCAACCTTAGGGATGTTTCTCAAATAAATATGCGCATAACCATAGGAGAAACCATCCAAATTATTAAATAGAAGTGACAACATAAATGTACGTACAATATAGTCACATAATAAGTTCCATGTACCATGTATGATCCCTAAAATTTTTATAAGCATGCCTTAAGTAGGGATCCGAAACTATTAGCAAAATGCTAATATATTACATGACTAACTCATTATCTTTAATATTATTGCTGACAGCTAAGTTTTCAGAGTTGACACGTCTGCCACTCCTATTCTCATTAATCTTAGCCAAAGATAATAATTGAGTAGTCCATATTCCAACGACTTAGATAACAAATTCATGAGTCTAAGCCCACAAACGGAACTTTAAACATACACCTTATAAATGATCTCCAAAACAAAGGAAGGAAGCCCAACTTTCATGTCATAGAGCAATACCGAAGATTTATTAATGTAACTTTATGAAACAACAAAAATATTGTATCATCATAAAAACAAAAAACCCTCAAGATTCATCTATATGAACCAACATCATGAGTCTTTGCATGCTTTATGTCTCTCAACATTGAATCTTGAACCTTTTAAATCTTAATGGCCCAGGATCAATTTGATGAGACGAAAGACTCCAATAAATGCTAAAGAATCTAACTCGTGATAGTTCACCATAAACTTAATGTCATTGTTATAATAAAAACTATTAATGTTGTTACAACATTTTCAGAAATATGTTGCACAACTTGTAGCTAGTTCAACAAATTGAACTATTGATTTTATAATAACAAGACAAGGTGTCTTATCCTTGAAGTGGAGCAATCTTGAAGTGAGACATCTTTAATGATCTTTCCAAATGATCACTCCCACTGATCAAATGGGACATCTTATTGATCTTTTAAATGATCACTCCCACTGATCAAACCATTACTCCCACTAATAAAGTTATTCTTGAGCATAGATGATATACACACTAATGATCCTCAAGTCCAACTAATTTAACAAGGATTATAATTCCCCACCATAGTTGGACATGTTAAATATGTACATGTAACAAACACAATTTCCAACTATTTAAACAAATTAAATTGCTTTAGTTGAAATTTTGCTAGATATGTACAATTCCAATATAAGGATCCAAAAGTATATCAAGTCCAAATTCAAAAGCTTTATTGTGGTTGGGCTGAAAAATCAAGTAAGCCACATACAGTAACAATTTCAAGTTACTAAAGTTTTGGAGTTTAACAAAATACATGTGTTGCCAATGCAACCCATGTGACATAGAATTATAACTAGCCTTAAAGTTATAAATTCTAAAATTGGTATGATAAAATTCTATCTTGATCATCAATTTAAACAGAAGAATCCAGTGACATAAAACTTGCCTGTAGGCTAAAGATTTATTCAATTAGACTCAACTGAGACTTTATGATAATCAAATAGAAGAATCTAGTGACACAAAACTTGCCTGTGGGCTAAAGTTTTGTTCGATTAGACTCAACTAAAACTTTATGATAAAATTATTATCAAAGGGGATAGAAGAATCTAGTGACATAAAACTTGCATGTGGGCTGAAGTTTTATTCAATTAGATTCATCTACAACTTTATGAAAAAACTATCAAACCATGTTCCTTTTCTTAATCCCTGTGGGTAAATTAAGAAATATGATTTAATATTTTATCTTGACTATTTACATTAATATAATAAAATTCCTGTGGGTAGATTTTATTATACTTTATGTAATTAGTCACAAAGTGATCAAAATAACTTAATAATTTCAATTATGAAATTGTATTAATCACTTGATATTTGTACACAAAAGAATATTAATGTACCAAGCTATTAATCCAAATTTCATTCATGCATAATAAATACACATAAAAGAAACTAGACTAATACCACAAATGTACACATAAAAATACTTTTGAATATGTACATATATCATAACTTTATGATAGAAGA